CTCCTGTCTCTAAGCTGGTTCCTCTGTTTAGTGCTGATATGCTCTACAGTAGCTCTCCTGGTATCCTCCAACACTCGTCTGTGTGTCCTACTTTTCACTGTCAGTAATAAATGCTCTTACAATAATGCGTGTCTTTGAAGCATATTTTATTAATGGAGAGCTTGCTACAGTGTATCTTTAGGACAGTGGAAAGGTACAGAGTGAAGTCTTGAAAGAAGGACGGGGGTTTATAGATATTGACCTAAATAAGAAATAGTCTAAGATGATGATAATGATTGGGAAGATGATAATAATTTCAAATAAGCCTGTCTACCAGTTTAAAACAAATTAGTGCAGGAATGAAAGTTAGAGGACTCTTTCTGTGACATTCAGAGACTTTAGTTACCAAGATGAAAATAATTTTTTAAAATGAGGGCTAGTGAGGTGGTTCAACAGGTAAAAGCACCTTCTACTAAGCTTGATGACCTGATTTTGATCCCTAGAACCTGCAGAATAGAATGAGAGATCAATTTTATCAGGGTGACCTATGATTGCCACACGAGTGCTGTGACTCAAATGAACACACATACACCTAAAACAAATAAAAATATAATAAAAATTAAAGGAGACACTTAAAATGCTCACAAGATAACTTAAGATGTAATACAAAATGTAAAAGAAAAAAAAGGACAATGAGTGTTTCTAGTCATGATTAAAGGCCTTGGATGAGCTAGACCTCTGAATACTGGTGGACAAATGCAAATAATGGCAAGGAGAGACCCTGCTTTGAGAAGCTGGTGATAACCCAGGGATACCGGTAGATGTGAGCTACTTTCTGCTGCTTCACTCATCTTTTTTTTTTTTTTTCTGAATGACCTTCTGCTGCGAGAGGCCATGTAGTACACAGAGACAGGGTGGAAAAGCCACCCTGAAGCATGGGGGATGCCAGGCAGCTTTTACTTGAGATCTTAGCAACACTGTTAAAGTGCCACTCCAGAGAATGGCTCCTGTCTGTCATATGCAGAAGAGAGCAATGTGGTAGGGATATTTCCTCCTTTCAGGCTTCCTGGATTGATGTAGAAAGAAAAGCATGAACAATGTAAATTTTAAAATTCTGTAAAACAACCAATCAATTATTTTTCGGAGGATTGTGGAGATCAAACCCAGGGCCTTGCACATGCTGGGTAATGCACTTCCTCTAAACTGCCTCCCAGCTCTGGCTTATCATTATTTTTTTAAAATAAGATTTTACTGTGTAATTCAGGTTAGCCTTGAACTTGTTAGGTAGTCCAGGCTGGCCTTAAAGTCAAGATCTTCTGCCTCCACCTTGTTCATGCCCAGCCAAAATAATCATTTTGATGATATGCACATTTCAAGATAGAACTGTGGAGACAGCCAAAAGAACTTAAAAGTATCTCTCTAGTCACCAGATATTAGTTGAGCTCCTACTGTGTTTGAGTTATGAAGCTTACCCTAGGAAAGTAGAATCTACTTTTTTAGCCCAAACATTATTTACCTTATTCATTTCACATGAAAAGTTATTGAGAATTCTACTTCATATATCTGAGGTTTAAAAGCAGTAGATGCATAGGAAGAATACAGTTAGACCACATCCTAATGACCACCATTCAGAACTACTGTCTAATCTCTAAATTCCGTACAGGAAACCCCTTCCATCTAATGACCTGCCTCTGACTACATGGCACACTGCTGTGATCCAAGAATCGGATAACCCTTAGTAGTGGAACTCAGTTTAAAGGGAGATTGACACGACGTCAGTGTGTCTTGAAAGTTAAGCAACAGAGCTTTAGTGAATGAGTTTCACTACTTCAGCTCCTGGCTGGCCTGGGCCAAGTTTCTCAAGGGTCCTGCTAAAGTTGAGATACCTGATCTAGAAATATGTGAAATAATTCTGTACTTGACATTTGATGGCTGTGCAGTATCTATTTAAGACAACTGATTAGCAAAATGTATCCAGGTTTGAGGTTCACAGTAATACTCTGGTTCTTGGGGTGCTACGGCATGAAGGCTGTAGCAAGTTTAGGCCACTCTGGGCTACACAGCCAGGTCCAAGCCAACCTGGACACATGCGTGGGTAATATGCATACCTGCCTTTATAAGTACAAAAGCTTTCTACTTTAAGTCACACTTCTATCGTGCCTTCACTTATTTCTAAAGCTGTGTATGTATTTTCTTACTGTTCCCATGTTGATGGCATGACATTAACATACCTTTAGTACATCCTTGGAAATTCAAACAACACAGTTTAATTTCTAAATCATGCTTGTGAAAGATGTTTAACTATAAAACATTTCAGCTTCAAGCTAAAATCCAAGTAGTAATTTTTTTTTCTTTTCGTAGTAAGTCTTAAAAGCTGGTTTCAGGAGCCTAACATAACTGTCCTCTGAGAGGCTCCACTCAGCAGTGGATTGAAACAGATGCAGAGACCTACAGTCAAATATTAGGCAGAGCTTGGGGAGACTTGTGGAAGAGTTGGGGGAAGGATAGGTGAACCCAGAGGACAAGAACTCCACAAGAAGACCAGCAGAGTCTGAGGCCCTTGTGAGCTCACAGAGACTGAAGCACCAACCAAAGAACATGCATGGTCTGTCCCTAGGCCCCCTACACATATGTAACTGATGGGCAGCTTTGTCTTCATGAGGGTCCCCTAGCAATTAGAATGGGGCTGTCTCTGACATGGACTCTGTTGCCTGCTTTTGGATCACTTTCCCCTAGCTGGGCTGTCTTGTTGGGCCTCAATGGAAGAGGACACACTTAGTCCTGATGCAACTTGATATGCTGAGGCAGGGTGGTATGGAGGGGTGTGTATCCCCTTTTCTGAGGAGAGGGGGAGGGGAAATGGGGAAAGAGGGAGAAAGAGTGGGGCTGGGAGGAGAGGAGGAAGGGGTCTTCAACAGGGATATAAAGTGAATAAATAAATAAGTTAATGGGGGGAAACTGGTTTCAGCCAGGTAAGGCCTATAGTCCTAGTCTATAGTCCTAGTACACAGGACACCAAGGTAGAAGAATTGTGAGTTCAAGGCTAGTCTGGGCCACATATCAGGACTATCAAAGAAAAACCACTTTTGTTTTTTATTTGTTTGTTTTTATTTTTTCATCCAGTGCTGGCCTCAGTGGTGAATGTCTGTAATCTCAATACTCAGGAGCCTAAGGCAAGAGGGTCATAGATTGGAAGCCATTCTTGGCTACCATGAGTTTGATGTCTTCCTGGGCTCCTGAGACCCTGTCTCTAAATCACAAAGCAGAGCTACATGTCAGCTTAGTTCTGCCCAGTGTTTCTGGTCCCTGGTCTTAGTGCGTGAGAACCCATCTTTGTGCTAGTTTCAGTGATTGGGTTTGCCAGGGGCTGCCTCTCCTGCTGCTGGAGATAGAGTGCAACTGAGACATAACTCTGCAAGAGAAGCTATTGAGCAGATAGTCCATTGTAAATCCACTTTCTCTCTTGTTCGTCCACGAAAAGGTATCTTTTCTAAATGATGCTATTATGTAGTTTCATAGTTTTATCACTTTCTCAATTCACCTATTTTTTATACACTTGAAATTATTGAAAACCGAGGGACATCAATTCCTGGAAACTGGCTTCTCCGTTGCAATGCACTGGCATGGTATCCGTTGGTATCCGCTATGCCCCGGAGTCAATATTCAGATGGAGAAGTTTGAAAGTGGTAACTTGAGGTGGCTCACATGGCGAGCAGCGACAAAGTAACAAATGATCTCCCTCTTTCTTTTATATAGAGTAATAGAGGCTATTATAGCTATAAAGTATGTTCTTCATCTTCTTCATGCTGGTCCACATAGCCTGGACTCTGAGGCCTACAGGGCATGTTTGTGGCGGTCCGTGGCAACGCACACTCAAATTTTCTAGCCCATTTTCCAAGCTAAAGTCTATGCTTAACTTTATTACATGATTCTGGAAACACCATTGAGTAGGGAGATGAAAGCCACTTCAGTAGGCAAAAGCAATCAACTATAAAAAGATATGAAGGCATAGGAATGCTTTGCTGGCCGTTCAAAGGCCCTGAAGAAGATGCGTGGCTATCCTCAGAGGGACTGAGTGTGAAGTAGAAAAACCTTAACAAAACCTGTAAGTACCCTGACCTCGGAGCAGCTACTTTCATCTGCAGGAGGAGATTGTCCTAGGGTCGCCTTCTGAGGCTGCTGGGAGCTAGCCCGTGCGTGATGACTTATGCACCCAGGTGTGCGCCTATCTGTGCAGCGTTAACTCTGTACCACCTCCCCATCACGCAGAACTCTGACGAACTCAGAGAAATCACACTGCTTTGTTTATTTGCAAATGTGAGCTGAGCTGCTGTGGGGATGTGGCCGCCAGAGGTCCTTATAGACATCACATAGCCACAGTGGGGCTGAAAGGGGTTTCCCATCTTCTGCAAATGACAGCTTCTAAATGAAGGCACGAGCCCTGCCACCCAGGGCAGCAAAAACAGTGACTCTCTCAATAATTCTCTCAAGTACAAATTACAAAGTTTTCGATGCAAGCCGTCTTTGGAATCAGGACAGTCCTAGCAGAACAGATGACACAGGGAAATGAGTCTGGGAATCCGTGGGGTTATGGGGAGAACTTGTAGAATAGACGCCACCTTTCCCTGGGGGCACGGCTTCCAACAGTGTTCTGCTCCCTCTCGCCAACTTCTCTGGATGTCAGTCACCAGTCACGCTTGAAGACTCCACGGTGCAGGAGACCCTGCCTCTGCCTCTCCACGCATGGTCCCTGCAGTGACAGTCCCTCATTCAGGGCACCCTGCTCTGCTCAGACCGGGAGCTGAGCACACTGCAGAAGGGCCCAGGTGGAATCCGGTGACTGCAGCCAGGCGCGACCCTGGCCCTGAGGCCCATGCTGCCTCCACCACGCGGGCTCCCACCCGGAGGCGGGCACTGTGCTTGGCCGCTGTTCAGCCCGCGCTCCCCGCTCTTCCCCCTCCCCCCACTGCCCTGGGTCCCTGGAGGCTCCGCGGCTGCCGGAGCTGGAGGTGGAGCCGAGCTGCTGCCTCCTTGCAGGAGCGAAAGTTCGGCGGCAGCTGCAGGAGCAGAGTAGCCGAGGGAGCCCCGCCCGCCATCTGCAGGGCTGCCAGGGGTAAGTCGGGGTCCCTCAACTAGAGGGCCGGCCGGGCGTGGCCGGCTGAGCGCGGGTGTGTCGCTGCCACTTGCCTGTCCGTGCAGCTCCGCGCTCCTGCCGGGAGCAGTGGGGGTGGCTCTCTGTCAGCCGGGGAGGACACCCCCACCCATGGCCTCCGGAGATCGCTGCTATACTAGGGCCAAGGACTCGGATCACTGGCCGCAGGCGGTAGCCGGTGGGAAGTGTGTGGAGGGCGCAGCGCCTCTAGGTGGACACGCTGCTCTAAGCGAGGGTCCCCAGTGCCGCACCCCGTGCTCAGCCCAGCTCCGCCAGCGCTCATTGAGCCCGGAGCTGCTGGCTTACTCTCCTGAAACCCCACTTCAAAGTAGCCTTGGCACATGTGGGCGCTCCTCGTTTGCTGTTCTAGGATTATTTTTGCTGTGATGGAGAGGGTGACCCGTGGGCAACGCACTCTCCTCCTGCATTATACCTGGGTGGTGACCCTCTGGATCCCAAGGGTCTCCACTATCTGCCTGGGACCCCGTGCAATTATGTGCGCCACGGGTGGGGAGGAGCTCTCCCAGGGCACTGCCTTGGGGCTCAGTGGGATATTCCAAGGGCTGGAGGAGGAAAAGGAAAGCTGTGCCGGGCAAAGGCAAAGTTGTTTGTTTCCGCCACACTTCCTGCACCTGTACCCATGTCGTCAGCGATTTTGAAGTTCAGAGGAAAAGACGTTAACGCTACTGCACCCGTCCAAACAGCGAGCCTCGGCGGGTGCTAAAATAAAGTAGTGATGAATGATAGGGTGGCTGCGCTTTGTAAAATCCAGGTTTACATGCTGATTGCAACATCTTGCTGCAGTTTTCACTTATATTTATAGGAAAGTCAAATATCTAGCAAATCCTAGCAATTCTACAGGGTGTCTTGGGTTCTGTTAATACTTTTTTATACAAGAGGGCACCAACTGTTGTTAGCTGTGAGTCGTTAGGTAACTGTGGGGTTCTTTCAGACTTGGAGAGAGAAGCACAAGGCAGAGAATAACTGGTGGTTTAGGCATAAAAAGTCGCTTGAATACTCAGAAGAGTGATTGCTGTGATAGAGGGATCGTGCATTGAGTTTCCTGAAAGTGCCAGTTCTGGAAAAATAGGAGACAAGCAATTCCCATTGTAGGAACTTAATACGCGTATAATCGATCATTCCTCTGCACTGACCTGCCCATCAGGTGTGTCCAGCCTGCAGCCTCTGGGGTGCAACGGAGTGAAGAATGGCTGTCAACGCAGCCAGAGACAAAAGCACGAGTTTACTTAGGGCGCTGAGGGTTTTCCGTGTGATTAATTTGTGATTAATTAACTTGGTACAATTGTCAAGCTTGGACCTTGCAGATTAGGGCGCACCAGCTGCCGCTCCAAATCATGCGACAGTACTTTAATTCTCTCCGTCTTTCTGTCTCAGATCTCACATGTCTAATTGTAAACCATCTTAGTGAGCTTCAAAGAAAACATCAACGTTTGGATACACCCATTTACATTACTGTTGTGCTTGTGCCTTGCTGTTCCAGAGAACTGGCATCAAGAGGCTTGTCCCACTTTATCACTGCGTGACCCCGGGCCAGTCACTTGTTTTTTCCAATAGTAGGATTCTGATGCACAAAATATTTGGAACACTCCTCACTTTACAGAGATACTTGGCAGAATGAAATACTGTTTTTTTCTACGTGCTCAGAGGACAGTTGGCCCCTCCTGAGTGCTCTCCTTTGCCTCTCTTAAATGCTTCTAAATGTATTTTGACACTTAAAAAAAACTTTAACGTGCCTAATTCTATCTTTCATGTGATCTTTTGCCCATCCGTCCATGCGTCCATCTCTGAGTCTGTCGCTCCTGGAGATCATCAGATGCATGGCCGCTTGAACCTAGGAGCTGGCACTGTAGAGGTAGGCAATGCTTCAGGGCTTTCTTTTGGTTGAGAATCCATCATCAGGATGGAGATGATGAACTGGACTTTCAAGTCTTCCTGTTTCGCAGTTCTGTGCTTGGTAAGATGGTGACACACTGAGAAGAAGAGCTGGTAAGTTGTGAGCAGCTGTGTCTCTCCTGCTTCCCTTGTTCGGTCCAACCCCACACTGGCCAGCCCTAAGGACTTACTGTGCCTGTGTTGGTTTGAACTTCAGCGTAATGAAGTTATTCTTCAGCTCACATCCTTCTGTGTGTATTCCTGATGAAAGGACCTTGGGATTGTAAATTATAGCCCTACCATATATTAAGGCTAACAGAGGTTCTAAGGAGGCTGAGCTAGCTCAGGTAGACTTTATTACCTATTGATTTTGGCCTCATGATAAAGTGATCTTATAAAACTTGTAAAAGTGGAGGTCTAGTAAGCAGTAGTGGCTTTGCCACTAGGGGCCTCCTCTGCACACGGGATCATCCTGGGCTGTCATTAGTTCCCATCCTTCTGTCCTTTCAGGGAGCAGAGAGGTTGAACTTCCTTCATCAGAAGAGGATACCCATAAAAAAGCATTAACAAAGACCTGGACATAAATGAAAGCCCTCTTTCGTGGATTCAGTAGGGGTTTAAAAATAACTTTAGAGACTTAAAAATTGGGCTTTTTACTTTATATATCATAACATTCAAATATGGATTCTAAAAATTTATATATTAAATATATGATTCAAATGTAGAATTTTAATGTTTTTCTTTGTTGTATGTGTGCATGTGTATGTGAATGTGTGTGTGTGGGGGGGGTCCGTTTGTCTGTCTGTCCGTCCTTGTGTCTGTTCATCCCTCTGCCTTTGGTGGAATTCTTTTTTAATCTTTCAATGTATTTAAAATAGCTTTTTCTCCTAAATGGATACTGGTAGCACCACAGTAAGAGAGATTTCTTCTCAAGGGATTTTATGCAGCCAGTTGAGGCTCCTCCCCAGCCCTTCCTTCTTCTCTGCTTCATTTTCTTCTTGGAGCTGCATGAAATTTTACCTTTAAAAATATCTTGTTGCATTCTGTAATGTATCATTCAAGGACATCTTTTTTTCTGAGTAAGAAGCTTTGCTTCAGGCAGGGCTCACTGTGTAGCCCAGGCTGGCCGGGAAACTTGCAGTCATCCTCCAGCTGCACACCCAGCTGTGCATTTTGAAAAGCCCCTTTACTTGTAAATTCTGATTTTAATGAAGTTAGTTTGGCTGGAAAATATTTGTTGAACAACTTGAAGGTGTTTTTATTTCCTAGACATAACCTGTTATTTGGTAGAAGAAACACTGACTGTGTATGTAAACAGGCATTATTACTCCCAATGTAGCCATATTGTCTGCAAATAAATGAGAAAACATTCTCAGGTTTCCAGTGAGATTTAATTTATTTCTGGAAACTAAACACTTTCACTTTCTATAAAAAGTCAGCCAAGGTAAGAGAATTCAACATCGGAGACCCCAAATCTTACAAAGGGTTTTCTCTTCTTATTTATCAGAACCTTTCTGAATTCAGAAAAAAATTCAGACATCCAGTTTGGAATTGTTTATGGTGTGATTTGAAAGCAAGACGATCTGATTGTTGATGTTTTTCCATAAAGGCCAGCCCGTGCCTAAGGAACAAAATAAGAGGACTAACTTTTATTGTGAATGCCATAGATAATTTTTATTGTCATTTCCCCCTGATTAAGCTGAATTCTTTGGATTGTTTTTAGGGTTCTGACATATCTAAGAGTTATGTGGATCCTGTTTGTACAAAGGAATGCTTTTCTAGAACTAGAAGAGGTTTTAACCTCTAGCTAGGGAAGGGCTTGGCACCTCTCAGCCTATCCTTCCTCTTCCCAAGACCAAAGCTGAGCCTCAGCCAGAATGATAGGCATACAGCTTGCTGCAGAACACAGTGATTTAGGTTGGGCAAGAGCCCGAAGCTGACAGAAGTTATGGATGCCTGCCCAAGGTGCAGGAAATGAGTGGCTCTTTATACCCGAGAGTCATTTTTAGACACCTGCATTTGGGAGGTGCCACCTGTATGGAAATGACAACTGGGAGCTAGGAATTTTTGAACCTATCACTTAGTACAGGCTACACAGATGATTTCTGTTGTTTTTGGGCAATGCAAAAAGCCAAACATTTGTTTATCCTGGGGTCACATCTGCGCCTTTGTTTTATTTCCACACACCAAGAACGTTTGAGTTGATGAAGGAGAAGCAGAATGCACAATAGGTACGTGTGAGCTGTCTGTCCACACCGAATCTTGGTTTTTGTATTCCCAAGGCTTAACTTAGCTCTCCTCACTGATAGTTTTGTGAACATCATCTGTTCTGTTTCTGAAACTTAAGCCTCGGGTACCCTCAACAATGACCTTTTCTTGTCTCCCCTTTGTTAGATACTCATAGTGTCCTTTAGAAAGGATCTCCTAGTGCACCTGAAGCTGACCTTGCGGGCCTTTTCTTGCCTACATCTCCAGAATGCCAGAATCACAGGCAAGATCCACCACACCTACCTTAGGTACTTGCAGCTAAGTTGGTCGATAAGTTTTAATGGTGCTGCTGTCAGTCCGTAAGTTGTCCTTGTACAATTTAATGCTGCGTATTCCTTTCGTGTGTGGTTGAGCTTAGAGTTCAGAGCTATTTACCTCCCCGGTAGGCCCTCCTGTATGGCACATTCTACACAGCCATGTGTGAAGTGTGAGAAGAGTGCCTACTGCACAGTAAACTGTATACATATGTATCTCTGATGGTGTTTATTTTAATTAGTGCCTGCTTGCTTCTAGTATAGATCAAGAGCACCATAGTCATTGAAATACTCTATGACAAAGATTCAGCGAATTTAGCGCCCATGGTAATACTTATAAAGTCAGGTACTTTATCGAAGGTTTCTCATTATATTTCATTACAACGTAATTCTTTCCACCATAAAATTGGTTACTGCTGGGTTAAGTATGGGGCCTGGGATGCTCATTCAGTCTGCACAGCCACGTTGGGCTATGTGCACTGTTATTATCTGTACTTTATGGATGAGAGAACAAAGGTTTCAGAGATGATACTTGTCTAAAGTTGG